ATATGCATTAATAAACAGTATTTTACGCATAAAAAGTAGTTTTTAAGAGTTTTTGTCAAATGCTTTATAATATAGTATAAATTATTTTTTTTATAATTTAATTTAAGTTAAATAATGAAATAATTTATTTTTGGTTTAATAATATAACATTTTATAAAGATAATAATTATGTATTCTGTTAGAACCCAATGATTATCCGAAGTATATTTTATATTTTTTATATTTAAAATGAGATGTTTATCCTGTATTTGATTGTGTTTATCTGCAGTTAGTTACACAAATTCAGATATGGAGCTTTATAAGTTGTACCTACGCATAATTTACTTGTAATATTAATTTTTAAGTAATATGCATTAATAAACAATACTTTACGCATAAAAAGTGGTTTTTAAGAGTTTTTGTCAAATGATTTATAATATAGAATATATTTTTTATATATATAATTTAATTTAAGTTTAATAATAAAACAATTTATTTTTGGTTTAATATTTTAAATTTTATAAAGATAATAATTAAGTATTCCGTTAGAATTTAATGATTATACAAATTATATTTTACATTTTTTATATTTAAAATGAGATGTTTATCCTGTATTTGCTTGTGTTTATCTGCAGTTACACGAATTCAGATATGGGATGAAATCGGATAGAGATGAAATCGTTTAGGAATGAACGAGTTTAAGAGTTTTTAAGAGTTTTAGCCAAATGCTTTATAAGATACTATAGATACAAAATATGATTTTATAATATGTTTTGGTGATTTTTACCATGTAATTGCATAAAAATGGATTTCTCACTAGACCTCAAGGTCAACCCTTATTTTGTGTTTAAAAATTGTGCATTACAGGTAGGGCACTAACAAGGGATAAAGGAAAACGAAAAATGTGAGAATCCTTATGTGCTTACTTGGATTGTGGAGGAGAACTGTTATATGTTGATCTTGAATACTTGTTATATATGCAAATGATGTACAAGAATGATGTGGAAAAATTTGTTAGCTAACTTTGTAATGTAGCTTCTTGTACTTTTTGGGACCGAATGTGTAATATTGTATTTTCTTATTATATGAAATACATGGTTATATGTAAATGTGGATCTTGGGTTGTTACATAAGATATAATATCTTATTTTTGCACCCCCAAATGGGATACATGTAGAGTACTAGAAAATCATATTTTTGTCCCCCATGGGCGATTTTCATTAAAAAAAATGGAGAAAATCAGATTTTGGTCCGTCAAATGGTATACATGTGTGAACCCATCCATACCTCAAATGAAGAAATCGGGTAAATAATTTTTTTCTTAAACTAAATTATTAAAAAATATATATTAACATTCGTTGTTTTTTCATAAAAAAAACTATATTTTTTATAAGAAATATAACATTCGTTGGTTCTTATCATATTTTTGACCCTCAAATGGTATACATGCGAGACTCATCCGTACCTCAAATGGAAAAAATCGTGAAAATAATTTTTTTATCATCAACAATTATTAAAAATTATTAACATTAGTTGATTTTTCATAAAAACTATATTTTTGATAATAAATATAACATTCGTTGGTTCTTATCAGATTTTGACCTCCAAATGCTATCCATGTGAGACCTATCCGTACCTCAAATAGAGAAATCGTGAAAATAATTATTTTCTTATCAACAATTATTAAAAAATATTAACATTCGTTGGTTTTTCATAAAAACTATATTTTCTCACGAAAATATAAAAACATTGTTTTTTATTTGTGTTTAAAAAAGTAGTAAAAAATGTAAACCTTGACGTGATTTCATATTTGTGTTAAGGGTTGTGATGATAAATTGTATTTAAGGGTTAAGGGTTATGAGAGTAGAAGTGTTTGGATCATTACTATTTTATAGAGAATACTACAAGATTTATATATATATACATACACACACACACTACATTTGGTCCTAAAAAAAATACCAATGAAAATCGCCCATGAAGTGTCAAATCGCTATGTCATAGGTTGTCTTCACTAGAAGAGAAATTTAGGGTCAAAATCGTCTCGGGGACGATTTAGGCCTTCTAGGACGATTTCTTCTATATCAAATATAATATCTAGTTTTTGTCTTCCAAATCAGATACATATAAACTCCTCTGTACGTTCGGGTCAAAATCGCCCCCAAAAAATAAAAATCGCCCGGGGGTGATTTGATGGTCATTTTGTTAAAAAAAAATTGAAAAATAATATTTGATTAAGATACATTGTATAAAATGATGAATTTGGTCAATTTCTCTTTTTTTTTTCCTTATACATAAAACATATAAATAAGTATAAAACATATAAATAAGAATAAAATAATTAATTCAAATTCAATTTCAAATTTTTTTATGTATTTGTGTAATTATGTATGAAATAAATGCATTTATCATCTCTTTTGGTGTGGGGTGGGCCCCATGTGTTGTTTATAGCCTTCTACGATCCGGCTACATACATCACACTCGACCATGGCTTTTCACTAAAGTAATATTCTCACCTCCCATCTCTCTCCTCAGATGCTCTGCGCTGCTCTGCTCTGCTCTTCCCTTCCAAACCCCACCGTTTCCTAGGGTTCCTACTCCCCATTTCTATCTGTTATTTCTGCAACATTATTCAAAAAATTTCAACTTTTCATTCAATTTCTCCAGATCTCAGACTCTACCTTCAATTATTCATGTAAGTTATCATCTGTTCTCGATCCACTTTTACTTTCTTTTCGTTCAGATTTGAAGTTTACTGTGCCAGATTTTGGAGGTTCATTTGCAATCTTACAATTTTCAGTTTTTTAAATCTTTCATTCTTGTTTATCATGACTCATGGGTCATTTTGTTTGATGAATGAAGTAATTTTTATGTTATTTTTACTGACTTTGTTCTTGTTACCGATTTCTGTTGCTATACGGAGAAAAACTACTTTTCAACAAGTTTATCTCGATATTTGAATGTGTTCATTGTGATTGATGGATAAGTTATGGATTGAAAGGAGAAGACGAAAAATTCTAGGATCAGTAGATCTTTGGTGTTTTTACAGTCACTTATTTCTTTTTTAGTATCACTGAAAATTGGAGAAAAAAAATATATTATTTCCAATCCTTTTCGATTAGCCGTGATAATGACAGATAGTGTTAGAGTTGCTTATCCGTTGATTTACTGTGTATCCACTTCGATTGAATATGGTGAATCATGTTCTTCAAGTGACCCATAGTGACTAGAATGAACGTATAGCATTTTGAGAACCCATCTGTTCGACCGATAAATTGATATTTTCCCTGTTAATCGGGTCCAAAATGGCAGGAAATAAAATCTTTATTTTTCTTCATTTTTTTAGCGATACTAAAAAGAAATTTAGTGGTTGTAAACACCAAGATATCTAACCATTACTTTCCATCTATCACTTATCCATCCATCACAATAAACCGTACAGGAGCCATAAAAGAAACAAAGATATTCAAATTGAGTAGCAGATTAAAACCTTGAAGAAAAATATTGAGATAGACTTGGTTGAAAGCTAAACGGATGCTGTAGTCATGAGGAAACATGGATCCTGTAATGATACAGGAGATATCTTCAATGATTTGTGTTCAGAACTTGATTAGGAAGAGTATATCTATTATTATAGTAATATCTGCAAGTGGGCTCACAATATATATTCTACTATCCTTTTAAACATGAAAAAAATATATTTTTGCTGTTGGCATTGAAGAAAGAATTCTGAGAAGGAAAGGACTGTTTCTATGTTTTTATGTTTCTTTTTGAATTGTTTTCTTGGTTCTAGTTGTGCTAGCACTCTTCACTTTAAACATGATGATGGAAGGATCTTCTTGGTTTCTGAGTTGTGTTAGTCATTATTCCTCCTGTCTGCTTGCCCACACTCTTGCACAAGCCTGCGGATTTTAATGGAAACAACTGCTCTACCCTTTCTGGGTAGAGGTCAGTCTCACCTCTCCCAGACCCTACTTTCGAGTGGGATTTACTGGTCGGTCTGGTTTGGTTTGATGGAAGTATCTTCATGGAAGAGGTGGTGACGGGACTAACTTAAGTTTAAATTGGTCTCATTGCAGGATTTGGTGCAATTCTGAACCTGACTTTAATAATATGATGGTATGATAAATCAGGGGTCTTGTTTGTAAGCCATGATAGAAGGCTGGATACTGTATGGGCTTTGATGTTGTATGAATCCAAGTATTTAAAAGCCCTATTCAGATGAATAATTGCTTCCAAGGTCTTGTAAGTCTACCGTACTCCAAACAATTCATCACATCTTAAATATCATTTATATGAGATGGGTTCACATTATGGTAATTGTGAGATTGTCGAGTTAGAGGATGAGCCCAAATCAAGTGATTATTCCAAGAAAAATCACCTAGAAAGGGCAAATGACAAAGGGAAAAAGCCTCAAGGGTGCAGTAAATCTATCGAAGATGATATCAATAAGCTGTTTGAGGCAATTAATGTCAGAACTTCATTCCATGGTTTCGCCATCTCTGATGAAACAGGCAGCATCACACCAAGGAGAAATCCATCAAAGAAACCAATGAGGATGAGCACGTCATCTTCCTCAGGAATCGGATATTCCGAGCCCGTGTCTCTGAAGCAGGCTCTTCGAGGACTTTGCATTTCTCAGGCATCAGAAATGGCTGCCATGAAAAGGTTATCTAAGCCTCCAGGGTCTCCCGCTCTCTCTGACTCTGGAAAGCTAGGATACAGGTCCGTTAGAACAAGTGAATCTGGTACTTCTGTAGGTCAAATTAAGGAGGTCAAAGTGGTAATCCCTGAAGAAAGCACATCCAGTTCTTCAAGAAAGATGCCTCATTACCTGCAAGAGATCAAGATGAAGTCGTATGATGATGGTTTACAGTCTTCTCTTCAATTGAATAGTGAAAAGTCAACAAAGAAAGTGACGCCCGCAGTCCGATTGAATGAGATTTTACATGAACCAGAATCTGGGAATGATAATATTATTTCAATTAGTTCGGCACCTTGTATTGCTGCTACCAATTCATCAAAGTCAGTTATGAACAGTTCTGAAGTTAAGCCGGCAGACATCTGTGAGAAGAATAATTTCGCGCCACCTAAGGAAGTAAATAAAACAACCCTTAAGTTGCGGCGAAAAGGGCGGTTGCCGAGCCTGCCACCATCTACTTCTATCAGCAGCAGCAAGTTTGGTAAGTCAACAAGAGTTCCTCCTAGAGCAGTCAAAACGGTCCTCAGAAACAAACACATTGTGAAGAAGAAGAAGTCGAAGCAAGAATCAGCATTGACTCCTAATGCATCTGTCGGTGGGAATGTTAATTTGGTTCCAGAAACAAGCCAGTTGGTATGCCAAAGATGCCATTGTGCTTTAAAGGATGCAGAAAAAGAGACAAATGAAGTCCATTTTCTCAAGAGAAACAATGTTGCAAAACGTGGAGAGAAAGGGGAGTTCACTCAAAGTTCAAATAGCAGCATTGGTGAATATAGTAGTAGCACTAGCATTAGTGAAGAAAGCAGTCTCAGCAGGTGTAGCATTGGCAATAAACCTCATATGTCGACGGATATAAGGTGGCAGGCGATCCATCAAACAATGAAACAAAATGGGTATCTAGGATTGAGGCATTTCAATCTGTTGAAGAAGCTGGGATGTGGAGATATTGGTACAGTATATCTAGCTGAATTAGTTGATACAAACTGTCTGTTTGCCATAAAGGTGATGGATAATGAGTTTTTGGAGAGAAGGAAAAAGATGCCGAGAGCACATACAGAAAGAGAGATTTTGAGAATTCTGGATCATCCGTTTCTCCCCACGCTCTATGCTCATTTCGTGTCTGAGAACTTATCGTGTTTAGTTATGGAGTATTGCCCGGGTGGGGATTTGCACGTCCTTCGACAGAAGCAACCTGGCCGATATTATCATGAACAAGCAGCAAGGTAATCACTACTGCCATTTTCATATAGTTTTCATCTTTTATTTGTTTTTGCAAGCTGGGGTCTTTATGGAAAAAAGCCTCTCAGTCCTTCAGGGTTAAAACGTGAAGTCTGCATACATCTTACCACCCTCTCCAGACCATACCTCTGCATGGGGTTTACAGGGTCTGTTTGGTTTAGTTTGATTTAAATTTGCTTTATAGCATGGAATTTATAGGTTGTTTTCGACACTTTATGTGTGAGGAGACTTCTATATGAACTGCTCTTTAATGATGAAAAAAATGTCCCAATAATATATATTGAAGAAGTATTCCTTGGATAATGCATCACTGGAAAAGAGTTGGGGTGTTTTGTAGGAAGTCGACCGGGCCTTGAGGATCCTATTATACCATGCTATATTCCCATTTTACCCTTGCCTCCAAATGTACAGGCATATATATGTTGGAAAACAGTTGAGCATTATCTATATAACCGTTAACGGGTTATAATTGGTCGGGCAGTGAAAAGATGCCACCACGTAATCGGGTACAGCGTAGCCAGTCTTGGCCCCTTAATGATCCCTAGCCCAAACGTGTAACTGTATATAACCTTTTTTCCCATTTTTTAGGATGGTGCATCATTGGAAAAGAGTTGATCTAGACAAGGAGTTAAGGGTTACATATAATTTAAGGGCTCGATTTGCTTAATCGGAGAATTTATGTTTATTGATGTTTACATCATTCTTTTTGACTACTTATGGAGCTTTACATATATGATGTTAATTGTTATTGGAAATAGCCTCTCTACTCCTCTGTAGACCCCACTCTTGGGGATTTTAAATAGTTATGCCACTTGTGTACTAACTTAGGCTTGATATATTTTGCAGATTCTATGTTGCTGAAGTCCTTCTTGCCTTGGAATACTTGCATATGCTTGGTATTGTATACCGAGATCTGAAACCGGAAAACATTCTAGTTCGACAAGATGGTCACATCATGCTCACGGATTTCGACCTCTCTCTTCGTTGTGTGGTGAACCCAACCCTCCTGCAATCGCCTTCATCTGATGCAACTGAACCGCCACGGATGTCGGGCCCGTGTGCTGGTTCAAACTGCATCGACCCATTTTGCATTAAACCGTCATGTCAAGTCTCATGCTTCAGCCCTCGGATTTTACCTACACACAGAAACCGGAAAACGAAACCCGATCCTACAACGCTTCACCGCTCATTGCCACAGCTCGTGGCCGAGCCAACTGAAGCACGATCTAACTCGTTCGTCGGGACCCATGAGTATCTGGCGCCCGAGATCATCAAAGGGGATGGCCATGGGAGCGCAGTTGATTGGTGGACGTTTGGCATCTTTCTTTACGAACTTTTGTACGGTAGGACACCCTTTAAAGGTTCGGTGAATGATGAAACGTTAGCCAACGTGGTTCTTGAGAGCCTCAAGTTTCCCGACACCCCGCTCGTTGGTTTCCAGGCTCGAGATTTGATTAAAGGGTTGTTGGTGAAGGAGCCCGAAAATCGATTGGGGTCGGAAAGAGGGGCTTCAGAGATTAAACAACACCCGTTCTTTGATGGTCTGAATTGGGCTCTGATACGATGTGCGGTTCCACCAGAGGTGCCGGAGAATTATGATATCGGAGTTGCGAAAGTGAAGAAGTATCTGGAGTGCAACGGGGCGAGCAGAGGGCACCTGGAATTCGAGCTGTTTTAGCGGAAATCAGGCATTGGAGATGAGTTTATGTTTTGTATACTACATAATGTAAATGGGGTTGAGGATGAAGTACAACTTGTAGTTAATTGAGTAGTCACGAAACGTTTTCCGAAAGCAATGATGTTATATACAGTAATAAAAAGCATTCTTGTTTGGATGCCACTTCTTTTAAAATGAAGAAAATGAGATTTTGCTTAGTTTAATTGAAATGGATTTCAACTCTTTTGTGAAAGAATGGTGAAATCTACATTTGAAAAATTCCAACCCATAAATAACCAAACGTTAGAATGAAATTTGGTCAACGAAATTGATCATTCTAATGGATTTGGACTAAACCAGACGATCCCTTGTATTGATGGAGATCTCATTTTGAAGATAGATGTGATATTTTTTTTTACTTTAAAAAGTCCGTAATAGGCCCAAAGCGTTTAAATCCATCAAACCATATCGCCTTTTTTGTTGTCTGGTTTGATCGGTTTATCACTTGTTGACAAACCGCTTGATTTATAAAATTTTCTAAACCACCCGTTGGGGTTTAGTTTATGGTTTGGGGGCTTAAACCGTTTAAACCATACCGCAAACAACCCCAGTCGAAATCAAAATCTCTAAATAATTTACATCTAACTTTAACAATTATTTTGTTTTAACAATTTCAACATTAGTTGTATTATTAAATTATTAAAATATACTACCATCCTAATATATTTTTGAAAAAACTTTATAAAAAATTATAACACATTCAACCATATTGGTGGAAACATTTATAATAATGTCTCACATAATATTAAGGGGCCGTTTACCAAATGTTTATCCAGGTAAGCGCTTACAAGTCACATTACCTTACCGAATTAATATAGCAAGAACCAAGAATCTTACCCGGTAAGAGCGAAGACAAGGACTGAGAGTCTTACCCGATAAGTGACGACGACGACTTTTACCACGGTTAGTTGTTGCATACGATACTGTTTTAGTGGACTAAAATTTTACTGGGTAAGTAATTGATAGTTTTAATTTTTCCGGTAAGCACTTACCCGAGTAAGTGTTGGTAAACAACCCCAAGTGTTAAAGATTTCTCCAAATTAAAGATTTCTATCTACGTCTTTTTATTTTAGCATACACTTTAGCACAGGTGTTATAGCAAAAAAAAAAATCTAAATCTTCATGATCTCTACTTTAGCATTGATTTTGAAGAAGCTCTAAGAGAGATATGTTTCATATTGTTTTCGATGAGGTTGAATATATTAGTAGGGAAAGGTTTATTTGAGAAATGATAAGTATTTGAGAAGTAAAGAAGAGATCCTAGTACCTCATCTGGTCAAAATTTGCGGCTTTGATTGTGAATCACCGGATAATTCCTCACATGGGTATACGGAAAATAGATGAGTAGTTTCATAATTTTTACAAATATGCGACAAACAAGTTCATATGTGATCCCCTGTGATTCACATATGAACCTGTGGGTTCATATATGAGTCGGTTAAAATAGTTCATATGTGAATTATACAGGTTCACATATAAACATATAGTTCATATGTAAATCAGTTAATTAGTTCAAATGCGAATTACACASGTTCATATGTGAATCAGTTAAAATAGTTCATATGTGAATCACACAAGCTTACATATGTGAATCAGTTAAAATAGTTCATATGTGAATCAGTTAAAATAGTTCATATGTAAATCAATTAAAATAGTTCATATGTGAATCAGTTAAAATAGTTCATATGTGAATCACACAAGCTTACATATGTGAATTAGTTAAAATAGTTCATATGTGAATCACACAAACTTACATATGAACTCGTTTGTCGCCTATTTGTACAAGATAAGGAACTACCCCCTCTATTTTTTGTATAGCTGTAAATTTTGACCAATCAAATTCGCAATTCTTGACTAGTCAAAGTCGTAATACTTGACTAGTTAAATCCGATCTTGATCGTATAAAAGGCTAGGATCACTTCTTTCTAAAATGTTTACCACTTCTCAAAATAACCGATGACTATATATATATATATATATATATATATATATATATATATTCTTTTAAATCAAAAAGTTTAAAGTTTATTGAGTTGACAAGTTTATAAAATATTTTAATAATATAATTAGTATTTAAATCTTCAAAATAAAGATAAATAAAATTGTTGAAGTTGAGTGTAAATTTTCTAAATTTTTAATTTTTACTTCTCTATTTTAAAATAAATTTTATTAATAATATATTGGAAATACTCTAATTGTAGACTGTCTTGTTATCACTGAATGTCCGCTTCAAATCATGAATAGAATGTCTCTTTCTTCAACTCTATCTTTGACATCACTGAAGGTTTCTTTGGTGTGAGTTTTATCATCGAAGAATACTTGTTCTAGGAATGTTTACAATACATGTTAAACGATCATTGAACAGACTCAGAGATGATCGTTGAAACTGAACAAAAACAAAACGAAGTATTTTTCACTAAGTATGGAGGGTCATCATCGAATCACTGAGAGAGTTTGGATCAATAAAAACCCACTCTGAGCTTTCTTAATATCTTTGGTTGTTAGTGTTATATTCTCAACAATAGAGATAATCTTGGAAAGTTTGATCCCAAGCCTGACGATGGCATCTTTCTTGGATATTATTCTATATCTAAAACATTCAGAGTGTTCAACAAACGAACATAGTGCATTGAAGAAACAATTCATGTAATCTTTCATGAATCTCGTTCAACTAACTCTAAGACTATTCTCGATGACGAACAGCTGAATCAATGGATGATATCTCACTTTGGAGAACCTGAAAGATTTTTAGTAATCCTCCTCACACTAAAGAACCAAATGTTGATGATGATCCAAATATCATCCTTGGTGCACATAACAACATAGTTGAATCCTTTTCAAGGATTTCTTCTGTTCTAATTAACACCATACCACCTTTAGGTTCCTTAAATGCTAAACCATCTTCAAATACTGAGCCCTCTTCAATGAATAACATTCCATCTGAACCTCTTCAAGAGTTAAGATTGAATGATGATGTATCTTCTACTGAAGCCTCTTCTTCAGCACATGAACCTTCACCTACTCCAGACTTAGTGCTAACTCCTCAGCTATCTACTCAAAGATGGACAAAGAGTCACCTCATTGATTGAATCCTTGGGTGATCCAAACTCAGCTATTCATCCCCCACATGGTTTAGGTAATATCTATCTCTTTGTAAATTTCATATCTCTTCTCGAACCAAGGAAAATTGATTATGCCATCAAAGATCCAAATTGGGTTAGCATTATACAAGAAGAATTGACTGAGTTTCAAAGAAATAAAGTTTGGTATCTTGTTCCTCGACCATCCAAAAATTCAGTTAGAGGCACCAAGTGGATGTATCGTAACAAACTGGATGAACATGGCACTGAACTCAGAAAAAGACTAGACTTGTTGCTCAAGTATACAGACAGGAGGAAGGCATAGACTATGATGAAATCTTTGCTCCAGTGGCTAGGCTCAAAGAAATTGACTATTTTTAGCCTATGTTGCTCACAAAGATTTCAAGGTATATTAAATGGATGTGAAAAGTGTCTTTCTAAATGGCAAACTTCAAAAAGAAGCCTATGTTGAACAACCTCCTAGTTTTATTGATTCCAAATATCCAGATTAGTTGTAGCAAATCAAATCAGCTGTCGCATATCCGCTGACTATGTTGATAAACTTGATAAGACTCTATGGATTGAAACAAACACCTTGTGCTTCGTATGATACCGTATATTATTTTCTTCTATCTGAAGGTTTTAGTCATGGGAAGATTGATAACACCTAATTTCTTAGGAAAATCAAGGGTCATGTCTTTCTTGTTCAGATATATGTCAATGACATTATATTTGGATCCACGAAACCATCGTTATGTGTGACAATCTCAAATCTGACGAAGAGAGAATATAAAATGAGTATGATGGCTGAATTAACCTTCTTCCTTGGTCTTCAAATCAAACAATCTGAAAAAGGCATTTTTATCAACCAAGGCAAGTATGTCAAGGACATGCTTTAAAAGTTTAACCTAACCCAATGCTCAGTGATGAAAACCCCTATGGCTCTTTCCTTAACATTGAACAAAGATCCTAATGGAAATTTGTTAATGTTACAACCTATAGAGGAATGATCGGCTCCTTGCTATATCTCATATCTAGCCGACCAGACATCATATATGCTATTTGTCTTTGTATACGTTATCAAACTAAACCCAAAAAATCTCATTTGATCGTTGTAAAGCAAATATTCATATATCTGAAGGGTACACCCAATTTGCGTCTGTAGTAAATAGGGTATTCAGATAGTGATTTAGCAACCTTGATTCAACCAGTGATTTAGTAAACAAATCAGCCAATCAATTATCCATTAGGATAAAATGTAGTTCCACATTTCCTTTGGATATGCGGTCCCTAATGAAGTAATACCGCATGTCAATGTGTTTGGTTCTAGAGTGAAGTACAAGATTGTTGGCAATAGCAATGGCACTAGAGTTGTCACAAAGAATAAGTATAACATAAAATTTTATGTCATAATCAGCTAGCTGATTTTCCATCCATAAAATTTGAGTTGTACAACTTCCAACGGCAACATATTTAGCTTCAACAATAGATGAGAAACTGAGTTTTGTTTCTTGCTAGAACAACTTACAAGTTCACTACCAAAAAGTTGGCAACTTCTTGTAATGCTTTTTTTTTTTTGGTCTATTTGACAACTTGCATATTCAGAAATTTGAATATCCAATTAGATCAAAATCTTTCTTTGCGATACCAAAGACCTAGGTTGGGAGTACCATTTAGATACCTAAAATCCTTTTCATGGCTACAAAGTGATATTCTTTTGAATGAGCCTGGTAACTTGCACAAAGACATATAAAGAACATAATATATGGGCGACTAACAATTAAATATAAAAGATAGCTAATCATTCCTCTATAGTTGGTTACATCTATTGGTTTCCCATTAGGAATATAACGTAATTTTAATGGAGGAGCTACTGGAGTCTTTATGGGTTAGCATTGTTCAAATTAAAATTTATTTATCAAATTTTTGACATATTTACTTTGACTAATAAAAATGCCATCATTTGATTGTTTGACTTGTAATCCAAGAAAAAAGGTTAGTTCATCATCATGCTTATTTAATAATTGCTTGTCATTAGATTTGTGAAATTTTCACACATAAAAACATCAATTGCATCAAATATTATATCATCTACATATATTTGAACGAGAATGACATTCCTATAAATCTCTTTGAGAAATAGAGTATTGTCAATCTTACCACTACCAATTTATTATCAAGAAGAAAGGTTGATAGGGTATAATACCATGCTTGAGGTGCTTGTTTGAGGCCGTAGAGTGCTTTGTTGAGTTTGTATACATGGTCCGGATGATTTAGATCTTTAAATCCTGGAGGTTGTTTCACATATACTTCTACTGACAGCTTTCCATTTGGAAAAGCACTATTAACATCCATCTGAAAAACCTTGAAGTTTTTGTAAGCAACATATGCTAAAAAGATTTTCATGGCTTCAAGTCTAGAAACAGGAGCAAAGGTTTCTTCATAATTTATTCCTTCTTCTTAACAATATACTTGAGCTACAAGTTTGGCTTTGTTCCTGATAATTATGTCAGCTTCATCCATTTTGTTTCTAAAGATCTACTATATATCAGTGATGGTCTTCTGGGTAGGTGAAGGAACAAGTTTCCACACATTATTTCGCTCAAATTGAACGAGTTCTTACATAGCACTTACCCAACTTGAATCTTCAATGGCTTTTTCAATCCTTTTTTATTCAAGAATAGATAAACATATAGACACATATTTGTTAATCTTCTAGTTTTTACTCATGTATGATGATCCCCTATGATTTGATCAATGAGGTAGCTATTTATCCATTAAAGGCAAGAGGAAGAGGAAGAGAAACAGATGAACAGGTGGTTGAAGTGATAGGAGAGGAGATATGGGATGAATCAGGAACAATTTCGAATATAAGTTCAATATGCTAAACATCATGCTCAACTCTGTTGTTGTTATATTCTCCAGACCTGGTGATAATAGATCCAGAAGACCTGGTGATGATAGATCTAGAAGGAGATGAGGGATTATAGGATGATACCTGAAGGGAATTTAAAGAGGATTGTTGAATGGATTTCATTAGACATAAAGAGATCCATTCATTGAGTTCATTTTTATTGTAGGTATCTATGGAAATGGATGGTGCAATGCTATTTTCATCATAATGAACATGTATTGATTGAAAGGGATTAATACACACAACAATTTAATCGGTTTTGCCTTTGTAAGTTAAATATGAGGGATGAAAAATACTATATGCAATGGTGTTAATAAAACTCCCGACTGGCATACTAGCCATACCACATCTTCTAGAAACAAGTAGCTCCGATGCCTTCTTTAGTCAGCTCGTATTCATTCAGTAATTCTACCCCTTCTTCATTCTATGACCTCGTTTCTAAACTATTTTACATTGAACACACAATAAACCTTGCAATTCTAACACTAATGCTACAACTGATATTACTAACTTTGATTCACAAAAAACGAGAATATATTACAATTATGTAGGCAAAAATATCTTTTTTAAAATAAGTATAAAACTTTCTTATTTAAGATGTCTTGTAGTAAACATAAAATTGAGATTTTTATGTATATCATATTTTGTTGCAATTTCCCTAATTAAAAGAAATAGTAAGAGACTGTTTACTAACATTTACTACCTCTTATCAGGTAATGAAACGCTTATTGCCTCACATTGGTAATAGACGCTTATCCAGTGAGAGATGGTTTTTACCAACAATCGAGAATCTTTTTTTTTTTTTGATTAACCTGGATATCCAACCCGCTATGCGAGCCAACTAATCCCAGGACGACTACCTGCTTTGCAGATAGCCCGAAGTCACCGCATTTGAACCTCCGTGGCCACAAGAGGATTTTTATTGCTTTGTGGATTTGAACCTAGGACCTCCTGGTACTTTTGACCTTTGGAGCCAAACTCAAACCAATCAGGCACCACCCTTGTGGTTATCGAGAATCTTACTGTAAGTGAGGGTGGCGACTCTTATTTGTTAGCACTTACCGGGTAAGAGATACTTATATTTAGCTATTTTAATAAACAAAAATCTTACCCGATAAAGTGAGGGGGTGGTAACTCTTACTTGTTGAGCGCTAACAAGAGACACTTATACAGTAGTGCTATTCCAATGACCAAAAAAATGTAGCTGATAAAGTGAGAGTGAAGATTGTTACCCAATAAACGCTTATGATGGCTTCCCTTAAACTAATGTTGTATTTTATTGAGGCTCCAAGAATCGTCATATCTCGGGGATTTGTAGGAGCCGCCACTGTGGATGCTCTTATTCTTTCTTTCTTGTAATAACATCATTTTGGGATGACATATCCTGTCAAATACAAGTCATCTACGTACAATATGGGAGTATACAACATCATTAACCTATCACATACAAACATTACATTTGGAGTGTCTCGTATCAATAACAAACTCTGGGTTCAGGTCGATCGAGAAATGTCAACTGCAGAAATAAGGGGTCAATAGAATATCAGAAACATACCTTTTACTGTCATTTCACTTAACTGATCAAAACAGGGTGTGGCTACTAGATAGACAATTAGTTATGAGACTAAGAGATTGCAGTTGAAGCGCGCCAAAAAATCTATTGTCCCCAAATTCCATGTCCATATCACCAATCACTTGAATACACATCGTTATTTTATTTAATATAAATTTATTTATTTAATTTTCCCTACTCAACAAAGTGATGATGTGGCTTCACGTGATTGGTTGACAAGGAGGGGCATGAAGCCATCTTCCGGTTTGCTCGGGTGGCAGGCGACTATAGGATCTTTCAACCATAGGTTGAATTCAAAAGGAATTTAAAGATTCTGATTCCTTTAAAAGAATGAACCAAATAAAAGAAAGGAATTTGGTCAAATGAAGTGACCATCCAATTCCTCCCAATTCTGTTAAACCAAACAGCACCTTCTTCTCGGAAATGCTAGACTCGTTCCTTGATGATAGTCCGGGTCAACTGTTTGCTATCCCACACAAGAACCAAGGTTTCCGTATGTACTGGCGACCTGGAAGCCCGCACATGTTGAAGATTGAAATTGCATCCCTGAGATTTACATCTTGCTATCTTCACATGGCTTAAGAAGTGCCTATCATCCAACTGTTGCATACTCATGAAAACCAACGAATTAAATCTCAAATATGCTGCCTAAAATTTTATAAAAAGAACATATTTTCTACTAATCTTTGGGATTTCCCAAGAAATTGTTGTTTTAAAACTGGAAAGTGCTTGAATGAGATTGACTAGTCCACGTTCAAAAGCAATCATTGTTGGACATGTGATAATCAGCGGTTGAAATGCAATGAATTTTGTCGGAATCAATCCAATCTGATCATTCATTGTATGTTACATTTTGCCAACCTATCCAATTGATGATTGGATCAGAACGGTTTCATACATTAGTTATCCATAGGATCGGATTACATCCATTCAATATTTTGATCCAATTATCCAACCAATTAGAGACCATTCATTATATTTTTCTAATTTCCTTAAAACACTACATACAAAATATCAAATAAAATAAATAGATATTCATAACCACATAATTTGTAAGCACAATCATAAGAAGAAAACTAGGCCCGTACACCAAAATACCACATACAAATATAAAAATTGATCATTGATTTTGCACTAGGGTTTTCAACATTTGATTTTGATTTTTAAGTTCTTTTTTTTTCTATTTGAAGTATATATTGTTTAACAATATTAAAATTATAATATTAAAATTGTAAAAAATACTAATTATATATATATATATATATATATGAAAGATCAGAATAGAACTTAAGGTGAGAAGCGTAAGAAGGGATCTGGACCCTTGATCGCTTTTAATCTCACCCTCATCGCTTGATTTGCGCTTGATCCGGTGCATCTCATTACTGTTGATCTTCAATTAGGATTGATCCAAATGTGAAGATCCCTTCTTACCTTCTGACCATAACACACATGCACGCGCGCACACACACACACACACACACAGACATATATAGGGGCAGGATCAAACGAGAACGCTAACTATTTAATAAAACAAGAAAAATATCGTTAATATACAAAATCGTATATGATTCACTTAAATAGTCAATGTTCTCTCTCTCTCTTTCTATATATATATATATATATATATATATTAATTGAATCATGGATGACAATTGGATTGGATATCCTCAGCTTTATTGGATTCCTCCACCCAAGAACCATCCAATATAATTTGAATATTGAAATTTTGGATCCTGGCCTATCCTATACAATTACAATTGGATACCCAATTTCGACGGGTCGGTTAAAATTGAATTGGATGACTTCCTACACACCCTTGATCACATCTATATATTCTCTCTTCAAGGGTTGTTTAGTGGTTGTTAGGCTTCACATTAACATGCTTTCTTGGGATCTAATTGCACCACCAACTAAATAGAACACCATACATACATATATACATACATCCAACTCAGAACCATATGTAAGTGTACATGTATGCACTCATGTTTTTAAGTTATTTCCCTTCCAAGTTCCCACTAACTGTTATTAGTTAAACATATATTCGCTTTTTGCAACGCTTAAGTTGGCACGTGGTTTAAGGAAGTTAATGACTACTTGTGAAATGAGAAAACACTTCAATACAGTCGAAGAATAATCTCGTGAACCCAAATCAATATCATAAAAATCTATTTGTAGCAACGTTTAATAAAAAAATTCTTTTTTAGCATGGAAACTTCCAAAAAGAAAATGATGTAATTTTGATTAGACATTCCGCAAAGGAAATTGTTGCAATTTTCATGAGATATTCCACAAGGAAAACTGTTGCAGTTTTCATCGGATGGAAAGGGTATAATTTCATCACATTTTTTCTAGATAATAGGTAAATTATGTGTGGCATATGTTTTGAGATGGAGGCTGAATTACCAGTCGATCATCAATCCAACCGGAAGTCAATTTTTTTTACGTAGATGAATGTAACAGGCATGAAAATATGAAACTACAAATTACACAATTCTAATCACATTTCCTACAAATTGATGCATATGAACAGTTATAACAAGAAGGTGAACCACGACTTACCTCTGGAATGTCAAAGTCTTTGTCCTTGGCATCACATATATCAAGGGATATTTTCCGAAGCATTGGCAGCTGCTTTCATCAAAATCACAAGTAAATATTCTCTACTATCATATAGGAAAAGATAGCATTATATGTAACATTACTCATATACCTTCTTCACAGCATTACCAATAAAATCTTTCTGAATTCCAGAACCCTGCATCAAAAGGTTAAAAAGTTAATAGCACAGTCTTGAAGAAAATATTCCATGTAAAATTGACATTTTGAGACTAGAGATATAGATATTCATACTAGCCAAGTTTTGTAATACAAATGAACAGATTCTTTTGAAATCATAGAGGAAGTGTTAAGATGGTAGGTTTGATGCAGCAAGTAAAAATGTAGTTGGAGTATTTTAACGTGAATATTAAAAAAGGTAGTGCTTATTCTCAAATTGGGGTGTGCTTATATTGGGATAGCAAGTTAGACTAGGGGTGCCTAGTTTCTTTAAATTGGTTATACTTCTATTTGTATGTTAATGCTTTCTCTTAGCTTTCTTTCTTTGCCATACTTTTTGAAAGCCATAGATCTTCACAGAAACAACCGCTCTACTGGGTAGAGGTTGAGTCTGTGTACATCTTACCCAAGGTAGCATTAATAATAACTTAAGAGTGACCAAACACAAACAACAGCTGTATAGCTTGTAAATACAAACTAACCAAATACTATATCCTCTTGAACACAAATTATGAGCATGTGCACACATAGAATATTTTAAAGTGAATATAGGAATATAAGGATCCATATAGAAAGAAGTGTTCATAAATGCTTGATTATAGAAGGAAGAAAAAACTATGAAACCGCTTTATGGTTAAAAGCCACAACTTTAATCCGTTAATTGAGATTGGAATTCAGTATCAGGATCCCCTAGAGTAACAATAGGACACCGTCTCATCTCCACCATTCATATCAAAATGTTTTCAGATGGTTGAAAAATCACCCTTACACTCACTTTAGGGATACGAATTCTTGATTCAGACAGTATTGTGCAGCACCAAGCGGCAGGTTGTCTTTTCGAGGATTAATGCAGTCAAAAGACATTCTTATAAGTTATGTTGGTATTTGTGGTTCCAAAATGACGATTTTAGTCTGAATTTGTAAATTGTAATAGAAGAAAACAATATACAATACCTAACTTAACATAAAAAGGTTGAAAAACAAAGCAGACAACATTTCTTAACTTGAAGAACCAAGTAGATGAAACAATATGTTCAATCCATTCCATCATAAAATTGAACCTCAACATGTTTGTGTAATGTGTGCCAGATAAAACATGGAAACATAACTAAAACATGATTTACATTGTTTTTGTTTATTCGGGGTTTCATACGATAGTCCCAGCAAGTCTTCCTAACAAGATTGTTTCTTTGATTTTGTGGCAAAAAATATATTGTTATTATTGTTGCACTGTGATAGTTCCTGTATATAATTATTAGGTTCTAGAAGAGGGAGAGGGGAGGAGGAGGAGGATGAAAGTGGTTAAAGAAGGCTTACATTGTGGCGCAACAAGATATCTTCAATGGCATGGCAATCGAAAAGGGACACAACGCCGTCACTGGTCACATCTCCACATTCCTAGAGAAGTAATGAGATAAATCAGTGAGAACATCATAAAAATCACCATTAAAAGGGATTTAAAGAAGGTCAATTACTGATGCCGATAATAACTTAAATTTATTTATATGTTGACATGATGACACATGGAAACTCGAATGGGTAAAATAAGTTCAATAATGTAAACTAGGAATGCAAACAATCAATAGCAGGTACATCTAGCACTTGAGTCTTGAGCTGTGGTGAATATGCTTTCCATGGATGTATGCACAAAAAAGTCAAATGAAATAAGCTAAACAAGTAAAAAGATGAAGGAAGTGATATTTGTATAGTTTACTCTGGTAAAGAGAAGAAATCGTGAATAGTTTGAAGGGAAAAGGTCATGAGACTTCCTGAATGATACACATAGTGGATTTATGCAGATTCCTCCATTGCATTGAGAGATGTTTTATATCCATCAATAGTTTCCTCAATCAATCGATAAGGTGAGGAGGAGGCCATGCCGTGGACGACGTAGGATGAGCAACTGATGCAGGACATGGCAGCCTTAGACCTTTCTAAGGACATGATATCTTAAAGGCGTTCTTGGAGACGTAGAACTAGGGTAGCAAATTATTTGTAGGTCTAGTAGCTATTGAAATTGGGAGGAGAGGAGATGGTGAAGTAGAGGGTTGAATGGGGGAGGGTCACAGAGACAATATGTAGGCTAGAAGTGTCCTAGGATATATAGAGAATGTACTTCTGTTTAAGCTGTTCAGGTTGTTGTATTTTCTCCACGGACTTTATTGCCCTACCATGTTTATCCTTTTCCTTATCTCCTTTGCATGTAGTGTTCCTCTATCAAAAGATCTAAAGAAGTATGTTAGCACAGTAAAGCATACACCGTTGATATCTATTTAACCTGTGTTTATTTATCGTAAATGTTATAACTGTGGTGACGTCCGAACGAAAAAATTACTAAGCCAGTACGGAACGTAAAGGAAGAAAAATCTCCTAACCCAATGGACCAATTGTAAAATGGGTACCTAAAAACTGATTTATATGTGATTGCTGGGCTTAGGACAAGCCATGTATGGTACTTAGATAATGGATGTTCAAGACACATGACCGGAAACAAGTCCCTGCTAATCAACTATGTGTCTGAACCTGGTCCTTCTGTAACCTTTGGAGATAATGCAAGAGGTATTACTAAAGAATATGGTGTACTCCTTCAACCGAGTAGCTTATGCGGATGGACTGAAGCATAATTTACTAAGTATTAGTCAACTGTGTGAATAAGTGTTCCATCCCCCTCGATGAGTGAAATTTTCTTTCTACCCATCAGAAATTCATTTTCAGAACAAAACTGTAAGTATGGTGATCTTTGATAATGTTGATTTTTGGAAATGTCAAGACTTTCAGACACTCATTTCTAAAAAAACAATTATTTTGGAAATGATGGGTTTCTGAACCGGTTGATTTTTGAAATCAGCTAAGTATCTTATCTCTCTCTTGATATACGAAATTGTGTGATAGCTCAAAAGTAATTTTGTGAAAGTATTTTTGACATGCTGATTTTTCTTTAAAATTATTTTTGAAAGTATTTGGTTTTTGCTAAATAATTTTGAGGGACAAGAGGAAAATGGTGATTGAAAATCTTCCTTCCTAGACTAGCCAACCACCATTTTCATTCGGCCCAACACGAATTTCTAGTTAAAAAGAATATGTGTGGTTTGGTCTCAAAACATCAACTCATTTTTCGAAAGATGATTTTTGACAAAGAATTAAAAGGCAGTTGTTTTTGGAAACCTTGGTCGGTCACTCTAGTCCTAATCGATCAAATCCTTCTCCATATCCAAATTGGTTACCTCTTTATTCGGATACCTCTCTATTCATATCCCATCCAACCAATTTTTCTCACCAAACCCGTCCTCACTCGGCTCTCTAAACTCTTCCCTAACCGATTGTATCATCATCGCCTACTCTACTCCAGTCAATCACCCTAATCGGTCAACGCCTCCACTTCGGTCTCGTTACCAAATCAGCTACGCTTACAAACCTCTCGGCCCCTCACCGATCAGCCTCCCCACACACACTATCTACCAGATCTCCTCTCTTTCTCTCTTTCCCCTCTAACCAATCGGTGTACTCACCTCCAATCGGCTCCCTCCTCTAGTCGATTTTCAATTCAAGTGATCGATTCCCTTCCCCCACTTCTCAAATCGGTGACTTACTCCGAACCCATCGGCCTCCAATCAAGTTGAACTCGCACTCTCACCAATCGCTCCCTCTCCTTTCTCTCTCTAATATCTTCGGCTACCCTCACCTCCCTTACACCCCCGAGTCAGCGACCCCTACCCTAGCCGATCTCTTCTCATCGGCGACCTCACCCTCCCCTTTTTCTTCACCGATTTCCATCACTTCTAGTCGGCTACCCGGTTTCACTCCCATTAGCGCCAACATCACGAACCACTATCTCACTCACCGAAACCTCTTACGTAATCTCCTCCTACCTGCACCTCTATCCTAATCGACTACTGTATCCTCCTTCGTTCCCTCCCCGATTCCAATCCACTCGCATCCCAAACACCTTCCCGGTCAAAACCTTAACTCCTCTCTAAACCCTCTTGTTACAGCATCTAACCTACCCGACTATACCATTTCCTAATCGTCCCCTCATCTAGCCGATCCACACCGCCCAAAACCCCTTCTGTTCCCGTTCTCCATCGAGCCTCTCCCCTAGCGGATCTCACCTTACCCGTTCCATACCCGAACCCCCTAATCGAGTACTCCCTCATCCACCAATCCCAACCGATTTCCATTCGGCTACTTTCCCATTGTTACCAACCTCTATCGACCAATTCTCTAGTCGATTACGCGATCCAATCGGTTTATCTTTTCCAATCTTCACACTTATATCTTTGAAAATTCCCTATTAGCCACTTGGATACATCTATTGGAAAATGCTTTGATAAGACAAAAGGTGACTTTTTAGGTTTTTAATCTGACAACTTTTGGTCAATAAAATGTAGACTTTTGTTTTCATCTTTTCCTTTATATGTCTTCTCCCTCCCTTATCCCTTTCCAAACATCTTCAAACCTTCTAGCCAATCTACTGTGTGTTTTCAAGCTCAACAATGGCGTCCAAGTTTTCCACCCATCCAAAGCTTTAAGGAAAGAGCAACCCGTTTCTCTCACTTTTGATATTGTTGCATTCTCACCATGCAACTACATAGCATTGTTAGATCACAATGAGAAGTATCCGGACTTCTACATCATCAGCGATTTCTTCGTAAGTGCCCTCTTCACAAAGCTTTAACTTACTCTCCAAAGATGAGTAAGGGGTCGTTTACCAAACACTTACCCGGTAAGCATTTACCAGTAAAATTCAATACTATTATCTACTTATCAGGTAAGATTTTAGTCAACAAAAACGGCTTTCTATGCAACAATTTACCCGGTAAGAGCTGACCGTGGTAAGAATCATTGTCCTCACTTACCGGGTAAGACTCTCAGTCCTTGCCTCGTTCTTACCGGATAATATTTTTGGTCCTTACCTTATTCATCCGGTAAGGTAATATAACTTGGTAAGCGCTTACCCAAGTAAGCATTTGGTAAACGGCCCCTAAGTTTCTTATAGGCAATTTTCGGGCCACCTGTGTATATGATGGCACTGTGTATATGATGACACCACTAAGGAGGTTCAGGCTTCCGTTCTCTCTACAAATGATGTGTCCTTTTCTGTTGATGAGCTTGTTTCTGTTGAGGATCTAATATTGTTGCTACTGTTATGGGTTACGTGCAAGACCCTACTATTAAGATTCAAGGAACTCTTTATCGCAAAAATATGGGTGGTGTTTGGAACTTCTTTTTCTCGCACGTTATTCAGTGTTTCAGCTCCAAGACCGGAGGCATGGATGAGTCTCCTACCTCGGTTACACAGATTGCTTATGCATTGATCTTTCAAAAGAAGATTGACTTTGCTAGTTATTTCTTCGGGGAGATAGTGAATAAGATGGGCTCTTCTAAGAGTCCAACAATACCTTTTATCATATCTCTCCATGATGATAGTTGATAAGCTTGGGTCAAGCATGCCAGCCGATGTTGACAATTACTATGATCTAAAAGTTTCTCAAATTGGCTTTCAAACATTGAAGAAGGCATCTTTGCCTACTTATCTTCCACTCCCCTCAGGTATGGTTTCTTTTGCCAGATCTCCTAATCCGGTTTGGGGAGAGTTTTTGGTGTCCACAGCAGCTAAGGTCCATCCTTATATTGCACCAGTCACCAAGAACTCCTCCAATCTATTGCCCCTTCTCCTACATCAACTACTGCCTCTAAAAAGGCCACTTCCTTGGCCACAAAAGGCTACTTGGCAAGGTTGGCTAATAGTTTTCTACCAACACCCTCCGCATACATCTGCTTCTGAGGCTACGACTCCGAAAGATCCTTCGGAGTCTCACATCGCCTTACACCCTTCTAAAGTTAAGCAGAGGCACTCTAAGTTATCCACTCTTGGTTCTTCATCTAACAAGGCCAAGAAACCTATGAGGGCTTAACACATATCTCCAACCAAGGACTCTCAACAGTCCAAGGTTGTTGAAAATTTGTCCTACAGAGCCCAAGACATCTACTATACACCCCCAGCTCCTCAGTGCCCTCCCAACAAGACATTGTTGTACAGTCGAGGATCCCACATCACTCCACCTCGGCGTCTCTACAGGACCTTGGGGATGACTCGGATGCCTCCTCTTTCCGAGGTCCTTCTCCTCCACATGCTCACGGCCGATCACCCAAGGTTGATAATCCCGATGACATTGCATGGTTGATGACACTTCAGCTCCGACTTAGGATGTGATCCCTTTTCTATGCTATTTGCTTCTAGATGTTGGTCGTGAGTCTTACCAGCCCACTGACTCTCCTCAGTTGGTAATCGATGACCGTCCTCTCCCAGGCGTCGATGATACAGAAATTGAGCCTCACGCCAGTGTTACTGATACAGACATTGAGCCTCATGCCTATTTCTTAGATACAGACGTCCA